TTGCTATTATTTTTACTCTTAATTTTGCTCCCAAATTCTCTTACAACATAAACTTTGGCTTTGTACACAAGCACTGGTACAAAGGAAAACTGTATTCTCATATAATGCTACGTCCTTCCCTAGGTAAGGTCACTTCCTAAGAAATACATTCTATAATTTAATGTCTAGACAGACACAAGTTCACCCTATGTATAGTAAATGTTGTTTATAAAATGATTTTAAATAAATAACCCTATTAAATAAATAATTTTATATAATTAGTTGATTTTTATTTTATCTTGCATATATTTAAAATTAACAAAACCCTATCTAGAGTATCATCTAGCACCCTGATTCATACCCAGACTACAGTATCTGTATATCACCTATAATCACATGGTCCTACTGGAGTCACTTACTAGATTTCATGTTAACCATTGATTTGCTATACGCAAACCATGTGCATGTTCTAAGCCTATTTAGGGATTAAAGATACATAAGGCTTATGTCTTGATTTTAAGACATAGGCATTTACTGGGCAAGAAATATAAACATGTTGTGGTTAGAAGTATGAAAGAACAATGTACTAAGTGGTAGAGGTACTTTCTTCAACCACACATATGTGCAAGGGCTTTTGCTCAGAAGGCTGAGATAGAGTAAATAATAATGACTTGTATGAAAATCATATAATTCATAAAAAATGTTTGTTAACATGCACAATTAAAAATAAGACAATTAATGAATAAATATAAAACCCATTTATTCCTAAACATATCATACTGATTCAACTTTCAATAAATACCAAATGAGTACCCAATTTATTCCAAATTCTATCATAGGTACTGGGAATGCAATGAACAAAACAAAAGTCCCTATCCTTGTGCATTTTACACTCAGGAGGTTTATATAAAATAAAAATATAAATAAGCATTCAGTAGAATATTTTGGATGATGATTCGTGTTATGGAGAAAAAGAAGGAAGTGTAGAAGAAGACAGAGTTCCAGGGATATTGAAAGTTCCAGGGAAACTGAGCAGTTAGAGAAGGCCTCAGTGATTAGAAGACATGAAGTTCCTAATCAAAGTGGGGTACTAACCAAGTGAAATTCTGGGGGAAGAACATTCCCAGCAGAGGAAAGTGCATTATTATTAAGGGCCCTAAATTGAAACCATGCTTGGTATATTTGAAGGATAACACAGAGGCTAGTGTATCTAGTAGGAGTCCAAGTCTAAGAAAAAACACTGAAGTCTACATTACATACAACATTGTAAGAAGTTATGACTTCAACTAGAATAGAGGAGTAACAGTCTCTAATGCGTGTTTTCATGAAATCACTCGAGCTATTGTGTTGAGAATAGACTAAGGGTCAAAAGAATGAAAACAGGGAGAGTAATTAGGAGGCTATTGCAATGTTAACACATGAGATCATGAGGGACTAGACCAGGAATGCTGCGGCAAAATGACAGGAAGCACTGAGCCTAAATATAACAGAGCTGACAGGAGTTGCTGATGTGTGACATGTGGAGTATAAGAGAAAGAGGAATAGAAGAAAGCTCTTAGACCTTTGGATTGAGCACAAAGAAAAATGAAGTTGCTGTTAACCAAGAGGGGGATGACTGTGCAAGCAGTAAGCTTTGGGCAGAAAGATGAAGAATTTATTTTGAATATGTTTACTTTGAAATGCTTATCAGATATCCAGAAAAAGATACCAAGTAGTGTATAGATGTATGCATCTGTAGTTCTGTAGAAAGGACTATATGAGTTAAAATTTTGGATTTTCTCTTAAATTTTTACCAAATTATCTACAGGCACATCACTTATGTATTTGCCTAAATCTGGAGAACATCTTAATGCAATGGAAAACAAATAGGAGATTACTTAAAGCCATTATATTCAATTGACCAGATCCAATTACTCTGTTTTTAAATATTAACATTTATCATCAAATAATACTGCATGCAAGCAGATATTAACCTTTAAAGGACCATTACAAACAGAACACTGATACGCTACTTCCAATACCCTCCCTTTTCTCTTTAGTTATGAAGAAAAACAACTAGGGAAAAGTTATTTTTTAAGGAAAATTTACCTTTACAGAAATTTTAAAGTTGGCTAAAAAGCAGAATTCCTGTAATTCAAATTCTACAGCCATTAAGTTTGAACTTAGACTACTTGAAGAAAGATACATTTTCAAGACACTTTAACACAAAGCAAAAAATATGACTGATTTGGGGTTTTGGGAAAAGTTTTAAGAGGAAAGGTGGCATGTGAGATGAGATTTCATTGATTATAAAGGCAGAGGTTCTAGCACTGGGGGTGATGCACTCTGCCAAGTTTGACCATAGCTTATCATTCACATTGGCAATAACAAGTGGAAAGACTGCACACAGCCTGGGGAAGTGCTGTGTCAGAGGAACTCACAAATGGCTTGCCAGGCAATGGAAAGCTACCAGCTTGCCAGAATAAGATGTTAAGAAGTATGCTTTATCAAGTCCAGTTTGGCAACTGCACAAGAGAAAAGGAACAAATTCATAGGCTGTTTCATTTGCTCAGGAAAGAAGATGGTAGTAGTAGGGAGAAACTGAAGGTTTAGATCTATTTTGGTGGTTGAACTCATAAAACAGGCAAATGAGTCAGGTTACATCATAGACTTTGAAAGAAGTTTAGAGATGAACTTGGTCAACTCGCCTTTTTATGTCTGACCATTATGGCCCTATACACACAGCTTCATCCAGTTTTTCAGGAAACACTGATATACGTGCTGATGTTAGGAAATTTTGCTGCTGTAATTAAGAATTCAAATAAGTTGACTTTAAAATAGGAAGATATAATCTGGTGGGCCTGATTTGATAACATAAGTCCTGTAGAAGCAGAGAATTTAATAAAAGAGAATGTAAAATATTTTAAGCAAGACACAAAGTCAATGTACAAAAATTTTGCCACTGTTGGTTTTATACGAGGAGACCACATGATAAACAATTCAGGACATCTCTAGAAGCTGACAGCAGCCCTTGGCTAAGAGCCAGCCAGGAAATGCTGATCTAAGTCCTGCCACTGTAAGAAACTGGATCCTGCCAGAAACACGTGAGCTTGGAAGAGGACTGTAGCCCCATCTCAAAGCACAGCTGACTGACACCTTGATTTTAACTTGTGAAACTCTGAGTAGAGAATCCAGGCACACAGTGCCCAGACTTCTGACCTGTAGAACTGTGTGTGAATAAATTAATGTTAAGTTACTCAGTTTGTGACATACAACAGAAAACTAATTTACAACTTTCCTCTACAACATGACCAATGTCTCCTTATCTAGCTTTTGTTTAAATATATAGAGCAAAGAAAAACTCAAAATCTTGAGGGACTTTAAGATTTTTTCCAGATAGTTCTATTAGTTTGTTCAGCCTTCATTATTTTGAACTGATATTTATCTTCCTATAAATCCCAGATCCTCACTGAAAACTCACCTTAAATAGGCCTAATCCTATTTTCCTCCTTACTTTACTCCATCATTTATACCAAAGATCTAAAAAGGTTTTGATTTTGCATTCATTTCTATAAAAAAAGATTGAGCAACTACATGTGTGTATGAGTGTGTGTATATATATATATATATATATATGAGTATGTATACATATATACACACAAATGTATACACACAAAACACAAATGTCTATTTACTTATTAGATAGTGTCCCTGGAGGTCTAGATTAATATTTGAAACAAAGGAGGCATTTAATAAATATTTTAATGTATAGACAAATAAATAAGAGACTATAGCACAATTTGGCTTACACAGATGGTCAGAAAAGAATTTTCTGAATTATAGTTTGATCAGAGACCTGACAGATAAGATACAGATTCCCAGGTGAAAACAGCAGGATGTGTTAAGACTCTGAGGGTGAAAGAGTGTGCACATTGGAACCACTTAAAGAAGGCTGCTGGATCCGCAGGAAATAAGAAGAGAGAGTGGACTGGAGATGCAGGCCAAAATCAGGTAATGTTGAGCCCTTTAGAGTAGATTCAAGAGTTTTAATTTTATTTTACCTATAGTGGGGATACTTGAAAAGATTTGGATTGGCTTTTCATTTGCACCAAGACCATAACTCTTTCCCCATGAGAGCCAGGAAGTATGGTCTAGACACTTTCCTTTCTTTTGCATCCAGCACCAAGCACTTCTACTATGCTTCAATTTCCTTTACATAGTGTTTCCTGAGCAACTAGATGTGGGACGGAAAAGGCAGTATTAGCTATCCAATAAACTGGAGAAGTAAGAGGGCTACCCTTTCCCTGTTTCAGCAGGAGAGATAACTAGACACCCATGGTTCTATGAGGAACTTTTTTCTACCTTAAATGTTCAGATTGTAAAAAAAAAGACTTTAATGTCAAATTTTGTTGCACAGTAAAAAAATTTTCAGCAGGTTAATATTGGTCCACAGACTCTAGTATTCTCCAAAAAAGTGTCATAAAGAAGTAAAGATCTGAGTCGGATAGTATTTTAACTTGACAAAGAAACAAGTTCCATGCAGGAGTTGTTTTTAATCCAGCTGAAGAAAGAGTAACAAAAATTGCAGTTCCTTTTCATGTGACAGGTACAGTGATGGACCTTGAACAGACACCCAGTACCTGACACGTGGGCACTCAAGTGCTGACTATGTGATTGAATTATGCTTCACTGAAACAGTCCTTTGGTTTTTATGTACTATAAACTTGTGTCCAGATTTTTCAATCAAATGTATTTAAAACAATGAACCAGAAATATAATCTAATCTGCAGTTAAATATGTACTGTAACTCATAGACAATTTTTAACAAGGCTACCTCAGAGGCCTTCATAAATGACCAGCAATAACCCTCATTTATGTCCAGTATCTTCTCTTTTGATGAACTGAGTATTGAACTAGACTATTTCAAGGCAACTGCCCTATTGAATTACAGATACTAAAAGGATTACACTCCTTTTAGCATGGAGAATCAGATTTCCATTCTTTAAGAATGACTAAAAACCTCGAACTTTTTCTATCCACAGATGGTACTAATTTGAACACATCATTCCATGTTTCCTGGAGTAATCACGCAGCTTGCTTAGATTTTGTAAACATGACTGAACTGTGATGAAGCGATCAACATTCACTGCAAGGTATTCTGTAAATTACATTTTTATTCATAAATTATTCTTGTTGGTAAAATACTTTCATCATGGTTGAAATAAAAGTCTGTAGATCTATATAAGTAAAAATTTGTTACTGGTTTAAAGGCATGACAGTTTTAGAGACTATTCAGTAGATTCCCTTTTAGAGAATGAAAATGTGTGTAAAATGTAATTATTTTCTAAACCTCTGGATATCAATATGAGAAACTGCCAACTTTTATGATAGGATGCTGATAGTGGTTTTGTTAACTTCTCACTGACCTAGTTATGTATACTAAAATGGAAGAGAAAGTTTTCTTAATTCTTTATTTATAACTATATACTTTTATTTTCAATGACAGATGAACTCTTTTTTGAGCAAAACAGACATTTAAAAATTTATATTTATAAAACATATAAAAGTATCAACACAACTTTTCTTAGTTTATTAAAAATATTTGTATTTACTACTTTTAAATAATCTACAGCCCTTTTAGAAACAAAAGGACCAAATATATAATCTAAACTTAGATAAATAAAAATATAGTTTATTAATGCTAACATAGTATAAATAAATATAAAAATAGAAATTTCTGCAAAAGTGAGTGCAAATAAAATTTCAGCATACTACATATAAATTTTGATTAACTTCAATTTAATTAACAACATTCATCAGACATTCTCATTGAGTGGTAAGGGCAAGTTATGTCTTTAGTGTATCAGCTCTTTTTCATATACATATGCAAATTAATATACTCACTAGGAGCCAGCACAAATACATGATGCCAAAAGGAAATGGAAAGAGAAGATCTGGGAGTTATAACTTGAAAGGGGAGTTGAGGATTAGTAGAAATGTGAGAGAAAAATGTTTAAGTAGATTGAATATGACAAGAGATCAATAAGAGGAAACAAAATATTTGTGAAGGGCTGGAAAGTATATGAAGCTGGAGGAAAGAAAGGCTAGAGAAGTAATAAGAAAAAAGGGGGGCCATCAAGTGTGATATTATTGAAAAGCACTGAAAGTCTGACAGATGGGTTTAGATGACTACTATAGGCAAGAGAGAACACCAACAGAAATTAATTGGTAAAGTATAAAGTTAAAAAAAAAAGAAAGACAGCCTCCCTATAGCTAGTTATCAGAAAAAAGTAAACTTGATAGAAACTGGTTAATATATACCATTGTATATATGCAGTATGACGCATATTACAATGACAAAAAATAATTAGGAATAAAGATAAATAAAAGGCAAAAGAATATTGGCAGAATGTGATGATTTATTTGGCATAAAAGAAATGGGAGTACAACAGATGTAATGAACCCAGAAATTCAGTCAATAAATAAAATATATGCTATAAACTTTTGAGAAGTAAGTTATGATTTGGCTCTAAGTGTTATAGAAAATAATATAAAAAATCAACATTATAAATTCCTGTGGCCATAAAGACAAATTAAATGATCAAGAAAAGTACAATAATCTCTGGTACTGATATCAAAGATATATTTCTCCCCCAAAAGCACATAAATAGGGTATCACTTAATATCATGATATCTGTACTTGTAAAATAACATCTTTATGTGATAAATAATAAATATGTTTAACTGAGCTCTTTCTTATAATATCTCTTAATGTGGATAGGCATAATAATGATCAAATACATTTTGTAAAACTATATCTTCAGAGGTTCTAATTATTTAGTTCAGGTACACTTCTCTCAGGCGCTATGGCTTAATCTTTGAGATAGATTTTGGAGTAGCTGGGAGAGTATTTACCAAAATATGCTACATAAACATGATTTTAAGTGATACTACAAAGCTGAGAATGTGGATTGACCCACTTATTAGTGTGAAAAATTAAATTATCTTAACATATTCCATATGCATGAAAGGGAACTGAAAAATATATTGAAAAGACAGATTTCCTAAACAAAAATTTAATGTATCTATCCCAATGCATGTATACCCAGACAGTTAGGGACCCAAAAGTCTATGGACAACAGCTATAATATTAGTTTTTCAATCAAGTGTTAATGGACACTAAACTTATTTATAAAATTATCTCAGTAAAACTTCTGGGGAAAAAAAGTGGCTTTTTTTCCCTAGGGTACTACAAAGAAAATGGATTATAAATGTCCTATTTGGAGGCAAATGAGTTGATTTGTTTTATAGTCATTAGTTTGACAGCTTTATATAGCAAGTTATCTCATAAGAATATCTATCAAAAATGACAACATTGATTTAAAATAGTTTATATGAAGCAGTTCTTAGGGGAGTAATTACATAGTAGAGTTAATTGTCTATTAAGACCATTCCTATAACACCTGGAAACTAAATTGAACCATTAATATTGATGAGAAAATGAGAAAGACATACTGATTTATAGGGATTCACTTGAGGATAGATATGAGTAGATAAAATGTTATTTTATATCTTGTTAGCATGGATAAATAGAGATGTGTTGGGAAGAGAAGCTTCAGTTAGCAAAAGAGGTTATGAAAAAACAATTTGAGAGAAATATGTATATATAATTCTTGAAATCATGAGAGTGAAAGAACATTTAAGGATATTATTTATAGTGTCAGAACAGCAGATGATGAATTCAGTAGTTAATGGACAGTGAAATAGAATATGAAAGAAAGATCATAAAAATGCAAAGAAGCCAATAATGTCTGGCTCACACTGATACTTAAGAAGTATTTGTTCAACAAATAAATAAGTGAACAAACTAATGGAGTCATGAAATAATTTCAAGAACAATGTGTTACCAATGCTGATTACAATTAAATGCTACTAGAAACCATTTCCCTTTTTTTCAGTACTGTGGTTTCTAGATGGAAAGTTTGAGGAGATCTCCACCAGAAAAAACTTGGATTTCTCAGGGATTCTGGGGGTTGGGGGGAGAGAAAAGAGTAGAGAAGAGACTAGAAGAGTCAAGATGAGACTAAATGAGACAGAAAAAAAAATAGTAGAGGAGAAAGGATCAAAGGATAAAGTGAGATTGAGACCCCTGTGACATTAGTCAATAGAAAAATCCCAAAATATTTTTAAGAACAAAAATATCTACCATTTAATTTAAAGTCATGTATATGATTGCAATGTAAACTCCTTTTTCTGTGTATGTATCACAGAATATTCAGTAAGGCTATTGTACATAAAAGTGCACAGTGTGACTAGAATTATCAAACTCATGCAAAAAAATAATTTTGTAGAAGTAGCCAAAAATTCATATCAAAATATTCCAGTGTCCAAATATAATAAATTTGAGGGTCTGTTTAGATGATGCCAGAATAGTTGTATCAGACTACTTCTCCTGCAAATAACAAGTATGAATTCTGGGGAAAATAAAACAATTTTGGCTTGAGGTACCAGAGAATGGGCTGAAGAAAGAAGGAAGCAACAGTGGGGTTAAACCCAAATTCTGGGTCTAAACTTCCCTGAAATCCTTGGCTAATCTCCTAGTTGTACATATATATATATATATATATATATATATATATATATATATATATACATATATAACATGACAATGGGTGTAGTGGAAAGCAACAGATAAAAAAATTGAGTAGAAATTTTAGTTGTTTTTCAACATAGGGGTGACAAACTTTAAAAATTGATAAACAGCTCATGCATAATTAAAATCTCAAAAGGGCCATATATTTACTTTACTCTGTGTCCCAGGATGGAAGAATCCCATCTATAAATAAGGATAAACCCCAAACCATATATTTATAAAATTACCATTCAGTAATTTAATAATCTTTTAGCATAAATGCCACACTCTTCAAAAGAATATAGCAAAATGCAGAGTTTCTGCAAAACATCAACAGTATCCAACATAAATTTAAAAATTACTCAGCAAGTAGAAAAATTATTAGTGACAGGGAAATGTGACTCGTAGTCAAAAAGAAAAAGTAATCAATAGAAAAAGACTACAGGATAGATAACTCAGATGTAGGAACAGAAGAAAATAAATTTTTAAAAGCCATTATAAATATATTATTTGATGTTAGCAGACAGGTAAAGACAATCAAACTAATAAATTTCAATATCAAATTGTAGATGTACAGGCCTTGTCAATGTCTTCCTAACAAGGGTCAATCTTTACCTTAACTGAGCCTGTTGCTGCCTTTTTTATAATCTATAATAACATATCTGATAATATACCTTTGGAATATCAAAGTAATTTCCTTTTCTCCAGTCCCCTTCATATACAGCCATCCAACCAGAGCAGAGACCACAAATCCCCTCACTATTATTATCATGTTATTATCTTATACTCACAAATATAAAAAGCAAAACAAAACAAAACAGAAAAAACAAGTATGGGTCTATTTGTTTTACTTTTTATCTAATCTCAGGGATTTCCCCACTGTGCTTTCTCCTGCCTCCCTAATCTATCACCAATGAATTTCATGTAAGCCCCATCAGTTTTCCCCTTTGATTCTGATGTGCAAAATAAGTGGTAAAACTGAAATTTTCCAGAACGTTTTCCCAATCCATTGAGATTTTGTTTCCTAGCAATCATCAGTTTGGCTCAAATAAACTCACTAAAAATTTTAAAACCCTTTTTTTCTTAAATATTTTATTTATTTATTTTTAGAGAGAGAAGGGAGGGAGAAAGAGAGAGAGAGAAACATCAACGTGCGGTTGCTGGGGACTGTGGCCTGCAACCCAGGCATGTGCCCTGACTGGGAATCAAACCTGCGATGCTTTGGTTTGCAGCCCATGCTCAATCCACTGAGCTACACCAGCCAGGTATTAATTTTAATTTTAAAACTCTAAAAAATCATTTAATTTAATGTACTTTATTTAATGGAAAACAGTCATAATTAGAAAGCAAAAGGGCAATTTCAACAGAGAAATGGATATAATGAAACAGAGCTAAATGAAAATTCTAGAATTTAAAAGTACAACATCCTAAATAAAAAGTTTATTGAATTTCTTTAACACCAGATTTAAAATGGGAGAATCCATAGTCAATCAACTTGATGGCA